AAGCGCCGTTATACCGTCCACGGCCTGAGTGTACCAATGATGGAAGATGGTGCACAATGACAGGGGCTGGTCAGGAGAGGTGAGAAGCTGGGCGGGCGACACGGCAAGTAGCAGAGGCCATGTCTCCCCACGATCACGCACCTCACAAATAGGCGTGCCTGTGCTCACATCAAAGTCTAGGAGGCGTCGCTGCCAGCCTCCAGTGACGAGGCTGGGAATGATGTACCTGCGAGCGAAAAGCAGATACTCGGCAGCGTCATGTTGCACGTGAGGTCTGCTCCAGCGGGAATGCAATAGTGACCAGGGTAGGAACGACCAGAGATCGGGGAGTCGAGCCTGGGAGCTCATTCGTTGCATAATCGACTGCATGGCCGGGGTCCAGAGGTCCTGAGTGACAGGTAGGTGCAGCATGGTCCAGTTGAGGCAAAGCAGGACCGTGTTGGCATAGCAGTGATTGCTGGAATTAAAATGCAGGCAGTAGGGTGAAGTAAGGCATGGGCGGTCATTTGGAGAGGCGCTTGGCTAGTTCGTTCGCCAGCGCGGAACGTCCCATCCTTTCCATCCTGAGTGATCCTCCGACGAGTTGCCAGATGGAGGAGTGGGTCAGGCTGGTGAGATGGCGGTGGAGAAGGTTGGCCTGATCGGTGCGACCCCCCACCTGCAGGATGAAGGGCACTGTAGGCCCCCGCAGCGGGCCAGTCAGTTTCTGGGTCGCATGAAAACGAAGCACCGAGAGCGGGTGAAGTGCCGCCTTCTGTATCTCCGCGAGGAGCTCCAGCATGCGGGAGAGAGGGATCGGCTGACTGTCCCCCCTTGGCTCTAATCTCCTGCCCTCCTGGTTGAAGACGAGGAAAGGGATCATGAGCTCGTCCGCTTCCTCCTTGCGAGGCAGAAAAACCTGTAGTTGGCGGGCCTGCTCCTGCTTCCCCGAGGTTTCCGATACAGCTTGGAGCCTCTTCGCAAGCTCCGAGATTAGGGTCTGGTACAGGAAGGAGCGAAGTGAGAGGGTCAGTTCCCCATTCTTCTGATCCCGAAGCTCGTGCCAGTGCTGAGATTTCGTGATGAACTGGGGCAGAAGTGACACCTGGGACTCCCGCTTGAAGAACATCACGAACTGGTTCTCGCTCCTGTCGACGCCCATCTCATCCTCGTGCCTCAAGAGCAGCTTGCTCATGATGGAGCAGAGGGCAGCCAGGTCCGGATCCTGAGTGGGAGACTGCTGCCGACGCCTGTTGGGCAGCCCCGTCGAGTTCCCCCCGCCCTTGCCCTGCCCCCGCCCCCCGCCTGAACCACCCTTGGAGGAGGGCCACTGCCTTCTCCCTGTCCTTGCTGCTGTCCTCGTGATCTTCCTCCTCCATGTCCTGACCGTGGAGCGCCGCATGTCGTTTGCCCGTGAGGGCACCTAGGTCCATCGGCTGATCGCCCCAGCACTGAAGCAGACTCAGCTCTGCCTCCGCTTCCTTGGTCTGCAGATCCTGAAGCGGGGTCTGAAGACTGCTGGCCGTGAGGGATGGTGGAGGACCAAAGACGAAGGGTAATGACCTGCTGGAGGATCGGGCACGAGGAGGCGTGCTGAGACTTGTAAGAAACAACAGCCCCACACCAGCGACAGGGAGAAGTGGCCCCGACAGCTCGAGCCAGTAGCCAGTCAGCACGTTGTTGCTCAAGCAAAGGAGACAAGGCATGCTGTTTGCGCAAGCGCCGAAAAATGTCCTGAGTGCGCGTAAACCACTGGTGGCAGATGGGGCAGTGCTGAAGGGCCTGGCGGATATGAAGACCTTTCAGGTGGAGAGCAAGTGGTCTCCAATCAGACAATGGGACTAAGGCGCGCACCTCCAGATCATCACAGAGTGGTGCTGGCAGAGCCTGGGAGGTGTGATGGGGGGGCGCTGGAGGGCCCAAACTGCACGTCTCAGTAGAAGCCGGTGGCTCGGGCTGGGCGTCCGGGGTGGCAGTCAAGGACAGAACCTGGTCCTCAGTCATGGCTGGGCAGGATTTAGTATGATGATGGTTCAGAAAAGGAGGCCACGCAGCAAAGTGTCGTTTGCAAAGGGAGCACTGTGGCATACCATCCACCGCATATCGCATGTACCTGTCCCTGAGCATTCGTTGGGTAGGCTTGGGTGTGGGAGAAGAGGGTGGGGGAGGGGGCGGTTGCTGGGCATCCGCTTCGTCAGCTGGCTGCGGTTTGTGGGTGCGGGTGCAGTGCGTACGCATAGCAATGAGGGTGGCAAAGGTCTGAGGGCAGTGCGGACAGGAGAATGGGCGGGATACGACAGAGGTGACCTCAACAAGGCGAGCAGTGGGAGCAGAGGCAGGGGCATCAGGCTCTACGCAGGAAGCCCGCTCACGGGTGACAGGCGTAGTAGCCGGGGCCGTGGCCAAGGACTGAGCGTCCTCAAAGAACGATGGCAGGAGGTTGTGCCAATCCCGCCTGGCCGGCGTATCAAAAGCCGAGATGTCCAAAAGAGGGCGGGCGCGCCTGTTGTCAAGTATCTGAGCAAGCTGGGATATAGGATCCTGAAGATCGAAACGCTGAAAGAGTGTCGTGGTAGTTTCATGCGTGATCCAGCTGGGTGACTTGAGAACGAGCCGAATCTGTTTGGCCACAGCCTGGCGGATCATGTCCGGACCTCGAGGCGGGAGACCGGTGCTAGTAAGGCCATAGCGAATGGCCGAGAAGACGCAGGCCTGCCAGAGACGGAGGCGTTGGACGGGTCGCACGGAGTTGGACCTGAGCAGCGAGAACAGTCGACTGAAGTTAGCCCAGCCTTGCTTGAGGCGAGCCTGATGAAGAGGGAGTTTCTCAAAGTTATCATAGCTGAGCACGATCCCAAGGTAGGGATGCTGCTTACGAAAGGGTAAGTCAAGAGAGCCAGCACTGCAGGCAATGCGCAGACAGGGACCTCGGTCTGGGTGATGAGTGAGCAGAGGTTGCAAGAGACGATGCTTGCGAGGGCCTATCGATAATGACGGTCTTGGCGTCGCTGACGTTCATGCCTAGGTCATGCAGGGTGTCGATGATGAACGCAGTGTCGCGTAGAGCCTTCAGGGCCTCATCTGGTGTGTCAATATCCCACTGAGCGAGAATATCATCGGAGAAAGCAGTGAGGGAGGTGAGGGGAATCCGAGCGCTAAGCAAATGCAGGGCATAGCAGATAAAGATGCTCCACAAGGCAGGGGCCAGTCCGCAGCCCTGGCGGACGCCAGAGTGCAAGGCAATTGGGATGTCATGTTCTTTGTGCTGTATGAGTAGAGAGGATTGCCTGTGGATGTGCAGAATGAGGTCCATGAGCTCGGGTGCAACCCCTGCGAAGATCAGAGCATCCCTTAGGACGGAGCGGGGCAAACAGTCAAACGCTCTGGAAAGATCAGGAGAGAGGGTGAGCCCCCCTTTACAATGACCGGATTTAAATTGTTCCCTGCCCGACGCTCAAACAGGTTATACTTCTGACCTGCAAGCACCTTCCTGGCTGCTGCGCAATGTGCGCAGGCTCGCTCGATTGAGTCTTCGACAGAGCGTTGCCCGATGTAGGCATATTGAGGGTAGCGCGCGGCCAGGGCCTGCACGTGCGGCCGAAGTCTGTCTGCAGTGAGGACAGCTAAGCACTTCGATACAGGATGGAGGAGGGCGATTGGTCGCAGGTTCTCTGGCTGCTTCGGCGGTTTGGAGGGTTTGTTCAAAAGGCAGAGAGCCGATCTGGGCCAGCGGCCTGGCATGGGCTCCTGCATGTTCGCCTGCCAGCTGTGGAGAGCTGGGAGCACCACCTCGGTCAGGGCGTCCGCTGCCAGTGCCTAAAGGGGGGCCGGCGCAATCCATGAGGGGAGAGCTTTGCCTTGAGCCAGGCGCATGAGGGCCGCACAGAGTTCCGATCGCGAGAAGGGAGGACTCCAGTTCGTGGAGGGGAGATCCTCAGGACAGGAGGATTTGTACAATTGTCTGAAGTAATCCCCAATCCGAGTGGCTTCTTGGGCAGCAGTGAGTGGTTGACCGTCATCGGCCCTGAATTGAATAGGCTTACGAACTGTTTTGGGAGACAGGCGACGAACAACTTGGTAAACGGCGGTAAGCCCCCTGTGGGCAGCAGACTCAGCCTCTTCAAGGAGGTCCCGAATCCTTTGCTGCTTTCTGGTCTTGCACATGTTCCGGAGGTCCCTAGTAGCATCCTGAAGCTCTTGTTGCCGCGGCCAGGGAGTGGCCCTACCGTGAGTGTACAGAAAATGGCGTCGCTCTTTGCGGAGCCGCCAAAGGGCGAGGATAAGCTCTGTTTGGGGCCCGTGTCCTTCCTGGCCCTTGGGCTTTCGAGCATCCGGGGCGCAGGTGTGCCAGGCTTGAATGAGTTGATCGGAGAGATTCTCAACTGAGGCCTGGGCAAGAGCACTGCGTGCGTGCGACACAAAAAGATCAGCAAGGGCAGGGTCAATGCGCAGCGCCTGCCGCACCGAGGCCAGGGACATGGCTTGGGGCTTGCGTGGAGGCTTGGGTACCCGTGGCATCCTGAGGGAGCCACAGAGGGGCAGGCGGCGCAAACCAGAAGGTTTCAACAAATGGAAGCCAGGTGGCCTGTGCCAGGCGGGCAATTGCATCTGAGGAGCGTTGCCTGGTGATAGCAAAATCTATTTGCGTTCCCCTGCCTCCGTTCGCGGGGAAAAACGTTTCCGCTCGGCGCCCTGCACCACGCCAGGTATTCAGTGCTTGCAAGGAGAAAGTACGAAGGAGGTTTTGGAGCAACTCTTGGTCCGGCTGCGGTCGACTGAGGCGAGTTCTGAGGCCACCTCCCACATGCTGACCATCTTCGTGGAGGTCGCAGTTGAAGTCGCCTGTGAGCAGGAGTCCGTTGCGGATCGGAAGACCCGCAAGCCTGTGATGGAGCTGGGCCCAAAGGTGAGCTCGCTTTTCGAGAGAACGATCCAGCCTTTCCTGTCCGGGGTGTGCAGCAGAGCTGGCATACAGGAACTGGTACACTATCAGAACGTCCAAGGAAGGCTCGCCCTCAAGTCTGACATGGACCAGTCGTCCTTGAATGGGCTCACTGAACTGAACACGATCAGGCCGAAAGAACCTCATGTTTACAAGGACAAGGATGCCTGAGACCTTGTCGGTGCTCGGGGAGTGATAAGCCGCCCAGCCGTGAGTGCGGAAAGTCCAGTCCGAGTTCCAATGGGTTTCCTGAACAGCAACCAGACTGAGATGCTGAGCCCGCTGCAGCCAAAGGCTCAGCTGTTGATACCTGGAACTGGAGAGACCGCCAGCATTCCAGCTAAGGTAGTGGAAGCGTGGGTGCTCCGATGGACTCTGCTGAGGCGGCGGAGGATGTGATGCAAGTGGGCTGGTCAAGTCTGGGTGAGCCTGTCGGTGGGAACCAGCTGCGAAACGAATGACACGGCCTCTATACCGCGCATAACCAGTGCGTGCTGCCCTCGCAAGGGCCCGTCGAAGGGTGCGTTTCCGAATGGAAGTGGTGGGTGCGAGAGTTGCCGAGCCTATGTGTATGGGGAGGTCGTGTGGCTTTGCCTCGGCGGGATTCAGAAAAGGTAGCCTGTGGACGGCTTCTGAGGGGTGGCGACCGCCAGAGCCCTCAACCCTCGGCTCAGGGGTAATAAGGGCAGCTTGAGAGCCGGTGAACATAGTATAGAGCAGCATGGTACGAAACCATGGCGCCCATGCTGGGCGCATCGAGGTGTTACCCCGCCCGGACTTGGGACCGGGCGCAGCATGTAATGTCGAGTGCTGGGATTGGTGTGTGTGCAGTGGCCTCCAGGGGACGGCCACATAACTGCGGCATTGAGAGAGCGCGGCAAGGAAGATGGTGACAGTAAGGCAGCCACCACGCCAAGCTAGGCCGTGACGGCGCAGACGCCATCGAGCACGGAGACGGCGACGATGTGACCTGAGTGGACGGTGTCTGAGTCGAGCTACCCTAAGATGTTTGCCAAAGCACATGCGGGGCGCGGGGAGATGCAGAAAGCAAGGGGAGCTACCAGCGCAGCACAACGTGTATGACAAGTGGGTCGATGGAGAGCGCTCGTCCTCAAGATCCTCATCGGCCTGTACAGAGCTCTGGTGGCCAGGGGACAAAAGATTCGAGATCAGCGATCCCGGTGGCGAAGTGCTCGAGGTGCCCGGGGTGTGGCCTGTTGCAGGCTCAGGCGTTCGCGGCGTCCTGGGCGACTTGCGTCTGGACCTGCTTCTGCCTCTGCTGCTTCGGCGGCGACGTCTGGAGCGGGAGGCCCGAGACGTCTTATGCGTCTTGGCATCCTTGACCTGGCGGTCTCTCCATTGCAGACAGGTCAATGTCCACGCCGTCCACCGCCAGAGCCGGGCGCGTCAGCGCCAGAAGGATGGGCTGCTCAGGTTCCATCCCCACCACTTCCATCTGCTGGACCACATCTCCGCTGCAAAAAGACTTACGGAAGGATCCCGGCACGGTGAGCTCGCCGTAGGAGCCGTCCTTCAAGTGCACCTGAATGGCGTCAGTTGTGACCGCCACCACCCTGCCCTCCGCCAAGTCGGACTCGCGGAGAAAGGTGGCCTGCAGGCCTGGGCCCGGGAAAGCAGTGACCTGCATGGGCGTCCTCCTGCTCTTCGGCATGGATTTGGCCTTGACGGGCTTGACGGCCAGTGGCTGGGAGCGCACCTTCGGCTTTGGAGCGAGCCGGGGTACAGGTGCCATGGAGGAAGCGGACGGGGCCTCCTCTTCGACCAGAACTTCCTCGGTCTCCTCGGTGTCGTCGAGCGTGGCCTTTGAGGGGATCGGGTCCTCACTGCCTGGGTTCTTGGCCCTGGAGTCAGCCCTCACCCGAGCAAGGATCGGCCGAAGGAACACCGTGAGGGGATGTACCCCGCGAGCTTGACCTCAGATAACGAAAGCTTCCAGTGGTCCGGCGGCGGCATCTGCAGGTATTCCCTGTCAGGGCCTGCTGCCTCTGGCATCGCTTCAGAAGGCCCATGCTTGCAGAGCTAAAAGCCCAAGGCCGGCCTACCTCAAGAAGAGCACTCCGAGAACCTGAGCCCACGAGCCAAGCGGAGCAGCACACAGGCGTGGAGCAGTGCAGGGCGGTCAGAGCATGCAGCGACTGAACCTTCAAGGTCCAGGCATCGGCCAAATGCAGGGTCGCGTGCACTGTAAGGAAGAAGGTGGGAGCACAGCCTGCAGGCCACATCTGAGCACACGCGAAAGAAGCCTGGCAGAAGCCAGCCTGCAGTCCCTTGTCCACAACGAAGAGAACCTGAGGGAAGACAGATCGAGCTAAGGCGGGGTAAGGGGACAGAGGGGCAGCCGCTTGGCAGAGGTCGGTGCAGTTATTTTGTCGCACAACAGGGCAGGCTGCAAACATCCACGGGCGAGGCCTGGAGAGCGAAGGGACCACGTAGCAAGGATGCTGGTTCCGGTGCCCGTTGAGGACCCTAGGCTCGGCGGGCTGCTGTTGCTGTGTCTGTAAAGAGGTATGCAGCAGCGTATCGCATAAGGACTCCGACCGGAATGGCTGCGAGGATGCGGAAGTCGTCCCGAGAGACCTCGTCCCAGCCAGGGGGCCGCGGCAAGGCACGCCCTCCCACCATGTAAGGGGCCACGGCGATAGGTGCAACTGCTGGAGCCGCAGCATCAGGCCTGGCGCCAGGGAGGTTGACCGGCATGGGCGGCGGAGGGCCATTGCGTGCGCCAGAGGCTGAGCCTGATCTCGTTGTCGTGCGAGGGGGAGCATCTGCGCCTGCCGCCTCATCCGAAGAGTCTGCCCAGAAGCGGGCTGAGATTTCATCAAGCTCAGCGCTGTCGGGATCCGGGAGGCCGTCCGAAGCTGAAGCCGAAGCCGCAGGGCGCGGAGCTTCAGAGGCGGAGGAGCCTGATGAGAGGGACGACGGTCCTGGCTCTGTCTTCGCCTTCGCCTTGGGGCGGCTGATGGTAGAAGCCGCCGGCCGCTTCCGAGGAGCCATGAGCAAGAGCACCTGGTGCAGAGCAGAATATCCTTGAGCTCACAACAGCTACTGCATGGCACAGAAGTGAAAGCAAGCGAGGCACAGAGGACACAGGCATGTGCACTCAAAGGGCAGGGTGGCCGAGGACTCAACCAAGGCAGGGGCGATGCAGCCGGGGCTGTCGCAAGGACCTGAAGCCAGGCACAGGCTCGTGGAGCGCGGTGGGGCCGAAGGACCGGCAGGACAAGCTGAGCTCCAGGCGAGGACACCTCCAGCCTGAGCCAGGCAACTGTGTTCAAGGGCACATGGTGGTCGCGGCTGAGGTGCCGGCAAGGCGTGGAGGCAGATAGATGGAGTCCACAGTCTACGGTACAGTGTGCATGCAGAGGAGCCAGTGCTGCTGAAACAGAGAAGCGCTCAGGCACATACACGATACCTGTCAAGGACCTGCCAAAAGAGCACAGAGAGGAGGCATTGCAGACTTTTGCTGGGTCATAACGCCCCAAGGTAGTCGATAGCAGCCGGCTAGTCCATGGTCTCCAGGGCCGCCACAGTTCCATACGGCCTGCGCACAAGGAGTTGTGGGCGAACCATGCAGGCAGGATTGGGGGGCAAACGGGCCGCCTGTCGGGATATGCATAGGGGTTGCCAGTGGCTGAAAACGTGGAGGTCGAGAGCCAGCGGGCAGGCACAGTCATGCCATCCAAACGAGCTTGCAGTTGAAACTGGCTCTTAGCCAGCGACCGAAGATGGATCCTGGCAGGCTTGTGGCCAGTGGGAGGTCCTTTCTGAACCGCATGCAGACCTGATGGGCGGCTGCGGGGAAGTGCTTGGAGCAGGCTGTGATTCATGTGGCTCGCCGGACCACTTGTAGCCAGGTACAAACCTGAGGAGGGCATGATTGATGCAGGCGCGCCAGAAGACAGCAGTATGCAGACTGGCATTAGGCGGCAAACGGCTGCATGGCTGACACCCCTGACGAACCTGGCCAGGCATGTCTCGCTTCGGCAAGCGAGGTGATGAGTCCTTGGTCGACGGCCTTGAAGCGAAGGCATCTTGTTCAGGCTGCTGGTGCTGGTAAAAGGGTCGCGGAACGTGTGCAGGGCCATGGCAAGAGAGCCCCGAAGAGAGAACAGCGCAGAACCCCAGCCCGAAGCACCAGCGAACGCCGAAACACACACCAAACCCAGAACAGGGGCACCCTGCTGCTGAGCCTTACATACATACATACATGCATACATACATACATACCTGCATACATGCATGCATGCATACATACACGCATACATACATTCTGATTTGTTCATAGCTTCATTCATTTGTTTATGCTTTCGTTTGTCTATCACCTATCTATTGAGATATGTATTTTGATTCATTAGTTGTTCTGCCTGTTTGTTCATATCGACTTCCTTTAGGTAGAACATTGTTTCTGTCTATTTGTATTGTTTGGCATACACCCTTCAAAACCTAAACCCTAAGGCCTGCGCCCTATCTAAAAATCGGGGCCCAAACGATGAAGATTTGGTGTTGAGATATACAATGCTACGATAAATGTAGAAAGGAACCCTGAGGAATACCGTTGATAATTATTCAGGCTTCTACATTATGTGTACTTGGAGGTCCATGGGTAGTTATAAATGGCGTTATAAGTAGGGTACCTATACATATAACCCATATTAGGGGACTTATAACCCCACTTATAACTACCCCTAAACCCTAAACCCTAAACCCTATAGAACCCTTTAAAGGAACCCTTAAAGGAACCCTATGAACCTCCAAGTAATGCACTCAGCAGACTCCTCGACTACGCGGCCGCCGGCGCCGCCGGCTGCGAGGCCGCGGGGTCCGGGACCCACGCCGCGGCGGCCTTTGGAACAAGGCAGGATTTAGGGTTTAGGGTTTAGGGTTTAGGGGTTTAGGGGTTTAGGGTTTAGGGTTTAGGGCTTAGGGGCGGCCTTTGGAACAAGGCAGGATGTCAGGGCCTTTTCTTTTAAAGCGCCATGGGGCCTTCCACTGTCAGGGCTTAGGGCTTTAGGAGTTCAGGGGTTTGGGGGCCCAGGGCTTAGGGGTTTAGGGGCTCAGGGGCTTCGGGGCTTAGGGATTTGGGGGCCCCGGGGCTTAGGGGTTTTAGGGATTTGGGGCTCTTGAGCTTCCAGGGGCTACTGCTTGGGCCGTGGGGAGGTTCAGGGCCTGAAGGGCTTAGGGTCTAGGGTTTTGGGTTTAGGGTTTAGGGTTTAGGGCCTGTCAAAGGCACAAGGAGTGGGACTTTTAGTCGAGGCTTGCAGTCGAAGGCTTCAGGGAGTTGGGAAGTTCAAGGCGCTTTGGGATTTAGGGTTTAGGGTTTAGGATTGAAGTTTTGCGGCTCGAGGGCTTCAGGGCTCGGGATTGTGCAAGCTTGGTGTCTGTGACATCTCTGAAGTCTTCTTCTTCCGAGTCAAGTCAAGCTGGCCCAGAAGATGACGTAGGCATGCTCATCATCACATGCTCATCATAAACTCTGCACTTGAGTATCTATCCATTCGCACGCATCTTGCCCATCCCCCAAAATCTCCAATCATGCCTTGGACCCGAAACTTCAGAAGTATGCTAGAGCGGGCCTGATGCAAGCTGCAGTGTAGCGCAACATAGGTCGCTTTCCGAATCGCGGAATCGTAAAATGGACCGATCCTAACCCCTAAACCCCTAAACCCTAAACCCTAAACCCTAAACCCTAAACCCTGAACCCTAAACCCTAAACCCCTAAACCCTAAACTTGAGATCTCATGGCTTGCTCCTGGCATGAGAACTCCTGGAGTTCAGACTGGTTTCGGGTGCCGAAACCTGAGTCGAGGAGCTGACTGCATCACGGGCAGCGCCCACCCCAAGTTATTTTAAGAATTTACATGAAACCCTAAACCCTAAACCCTATAAACCCTAAAAACCCGAAAAACCCTATAAACCCTGTAATGCTATAAACCCTAAACCCTCAACCCTAGGATTTGCTAAGGCTTTCTTGAACAGAAGGGCTCAATCCATCCCGTGCCCCTACCCCTGCGCCTCCGGCGGTCCGAATATCCGTCGTCGATGTCGTCGTAGTAGCCTGACCCTAAACCCTCAACCCTAAACCCTTAGGGTTTAGGGTTTAGGGTTTAGGGTTTAGGGTTTAGGGTTTAGGGTTTAGGGTTAAAGGTTTAGGGCATGGAGGTAGCGCAGGGTCCGAAATTTTGGGTTCGGGATTCAGGGGTTTAACTTAAGTTATCATAATCAAGAAACCATTCTGTTTACTGTAGATCCCTACTATGGGAACTTAAGTTAAACCCCTTATAACAAGAACCCCGAATTAGGGTTCGGGGCTCAGGGTTCAGGACTGAGAGTGTTGGGGCCGTTAGGGCTTTGAGTTTAGGGTTTAAGGATATTTTGGGCTTAGGGTTTAGGATTTAAGCATATTTCGGGTTTAGGGTTGAAGGATATTTTGGGTTTAGTCTAGGGTTTCCATGTAGCTACAAACATGGGCCTTCAGCGACCGGAGGTCCCAAGAACCCTCTCCCTCTCAAGGCCAAGGCCCCGGGAAGGAGCGAGAAGACGTGGATGTGGGAACAGTAGTACGGCTGATATATGAAGGACCCTAAAAGGGAGCCATATAGTACCCCTTACACCATAAACCCTTATGGTACCCTTAAAGCCACCCCCTGAAGAGGGGCCCTAATTTAGAGAACTACCCATGTGCTACCTGGTGGCTGTAACTGTAGTCAGAGCAGCCTCCGTCATCAGCGCTTGCCTCGGCGGGAAGTCAACAGTGCGGTCTTGAGGGTTTAGGGTTTAGGGTCGAGGGTTTAGGGCTTAGGGTTACTTTGGAACGTGGAATCGGGATGCTCGCGCTGTAGCGGTTTAGCAAAGAAGTAATCTCTGCCGCTCGAAATTACCCTCCGCCCGAGACCCAAGAAGGACCAAGCAAGTACCCGGTACCCATGCCCGTGGCGAAGCTGCATGCGAGAATCCGAGACAGCAGCCCGACTACACTCTACTTGGAGGATCATGGGACTTAGTAAGTAAGGTTATAAGTCCCTTAATTGGGGTTATAAGTATAGTTACCCTAATTATAACCCTACTTACTAAGTCCCATGATCCTTCAAGTACACCCGAAGCTCTCCCCAACGCCGGGTGGAAAGCACCTGAACCCCGACGGCAAACCATCGAAACCCTCAAAGAGTTCGTATACAAGTCTTCGAAAACCAATAATATACTGTCAGCAGGTACTATAGTATACCGATAGTATCATATAGTATATACTATCACGTATTGTAGTATACGATACTATCATATAATCTCATATGTTATCCTCCGCACGCTTTTAAGCCCTCTTGGAGGTTCAGGGGTAGTTATAAGTGGGGTTATAAGTCCCCCAATATGGGTTATAAGTATAATTACCCTACTTATAACCCCATATATAACTACCCATGAACCTCCAAGTTATATCAACCCTAAACCCTAAACCCTAAACCCTAAACCCAAAACCCTAAACCCCAAGCGTCCGACTTCCAGGGTCTCCGTTTGAGTCTTGGCTCGAGCTGGACCCCAAACCCTATTTAGGGTTTAGGGTTTAGGGTTTAGGGTTTAGGTTTCTAGGATTTAGGGGTTTCTTTAAGTGCAGTAGCCTCTTTCTCCACAACAGAGACGTACCCCTGATGGGGCATTTGGGGTTTAGGATTCAGGGCTTAGGGTTTAGGGTAAGCCAAAACTCGGAAACAAGCCGACCTCGACACGGCGCCTGCACCGGAAACCTATATCTCAACGTCGAAACCGCAAAACAGAAGATAGACCTATGAGAAATATTTTATATATATATATGTATACGCTTCGAGCCCTCAAATAGTTTCAGAATCCATGCAGTCCGACATGCGGCCCGAAGCAGGGCACATGCCTCAGTTGGGACCAATGCGATGTGACGGGGATTTCGCGCTTATGCCTGCGAACTCTTGTGGGAAGTACGGCAACACTTTCTAATTTCAACATCAGTACAACTGCGACACTAGCATCAT